AAAAAGCGGGTCTTAGAGGACCTAGCGGCCCAAACGGTTTTCATATTCGGAATCAGCATAGTCGATTACCTATTGTGACCTGGACTAGAGCTAAAAAGCGATTTATCAGTTGGTGTCCTTCCCTCGTAAGAGACCGGTATATTCGCTAATACTCTTTCTCCTTACGAATAATCGACAGGACTTACCTTAATTGTGCATCTCTAAGATGCTTATACTCTTTCGTCGAGATACTTCTTTTTTGCTTCAACGGAAATAACGTGCATCTAAAATTAGAACCCAAAGCTAAATGACATTTATCTAATTTTATAAGTCAGTTACGTACGTAGTTTGCTTGAGTAACGATGGTTTGTTTGTGACTCTCCCCAAACCGACCAATCTACTTGTTGTCCTTTTACGATGATTCCATACTTCGATTATGTTAATATCAGTATTATTTTTCGCACGCTCATTGACCTTTATTTGTTTGAGTAACTCCATACTTACCAGTTTTTAATCTTGCCTGAGTACTTTGAAAGATTTCAGAAAGGAGTTGTGCCGGCCGCAAGCGGGTTTTTCGTTGAAGATGAGATACTTTTATAATAGAAAAATAGGACTCAACTGTTGCATTCGATAGACGTCCAGCGCCTATACCTTTTGTGTCACTTGTACCAACGAAACCATCACTAGCATAACTATAAGCAGTCTGTGGTGAGGTAGAAGTTGAGTAAGTTATCCATAAACTTACCGTTCGACAAATTGATATAGAATAGAGCTCCACATTGGAACATACGCGAACCACTCGTATAGAAGTCACGACCGGTTTTGAGTAACAGGGATTATTCACCTTTTGACTTCCTTATTATCACAAATACTGTTCAAAATTTTCACTCCCTTTTTTGCCTCACGAATGAATGGCGATTGACGGATGATGGGAATATCATGGGTTGCTCTAAATCTTCCACTTCTTCTAGTGAATCGGTTATTTCGACTTCAAGCGGTTCTTCCGCTTCCGGATCGCTATCAGGGAATGTATACATTCCCTGATTTCCTACATTCCCTGTAACATATATACACATTCACATGGCGAAAATTCTTTTCGCTTCAACCGCGAACAGAGAAAGAAAATTCTTTTCTAACTAAGTGAAATGTGCACATATATAACCTGGATAGTCTTTCTTCGATTATACGCACTCTTTGTTTCTTTTAAGTATTTCGACAGACCGGTTCATCTTCTCTATTTTAAATTTATGCACATTCATGCGACCAAATTATTTCTCAAAGTAGAGGAAGACTAAAGTCCATACCCTCATTTTGACTACACTGTGAAATGTGCAACCTCAACAGAATGAATCGTCTCCTTTTAGAAAAAAGACAACAAAATGTACGATGAATTTCGAATAAAAGAGACTAACGGAGATACGGCCTGGCTGGCGATGTTCTCCAATGTTATTAGTCTCATTTTAGATGTGACGACGAAATAACGGTCCACCAAATCGATACTATACCGCGCTGACTAGATAGAATTTACTGCCTGCTTATATGAGGAAAATCAGGGCCACTTGGGAACACCCTTCATCCTGGCTACAGATTGTCTCACTAAAGACAACTCCTCAAAATCATCAGCAGTAAAATCCCTCTAATGGCAGGCGAAGTATATAACCAAATAAGAGACCTAAAATCCGCTTATCTATCTATCCAAATGACTTTAAATTTGCTAACGGTGAAAATAAGAGTGTGTATGAGTAACACCAAGTGTTGCGGAGTGTTGAGTGCCCATGAGAGTAAGTCACTCAGATAGTTTAATCACCATCGGCAACATAATAAATGAAATAAAAAATGACTATTTTAAAATAAAATGGCGTCTGGACCCTACGCTAGTAAATAGTCATTCAGAAAGTGAAACACAGCGGAAAGAGACCGAATTTCAAGAGAACGAGGTGGCATACCACTTGCTGTAACCATGTGTATGCAGCAAATTTTAAATGATCTTTATATGTAGTACGTAACTGAAATGGTTTTTTTCCACTATCTGTTGACCAATCGATTAGCATTCGCTCAGCTGTTTTCAAAAATGTAGATAATGAAAGACGATTTCTTAATGTGTAATCTTTTTTAATTCTACCATTAAGTCCATTATTTGTTGATGGTGCTAAAGAAACGACTCCTTCATACCAATACGGTAACGATGATACCCAGTTTTGTTGAAAATATTGACTAAAATCATTTAATTCAGCATCTGTTGACCATGTTAATAACATAAGCCGTGATGCTTTTGCAAATATTTGATCGTCAATATTAATTGCGTATTAAAAATATCTTTTTCGACTCATAACCATTTATTTTTATCTTTAATTACCTTTCTATGTCCGCGACATTTACGAATCATATGAAACCAGCACATTAAACGTCTTGCTAACGGAATTTCAGACATGTCACTCGTTAAACCTATACAAATGAAGACCAAAGATAACCATTTTGTAAAACGAGTCTTCTGTACAACTTTGTTACTAACCAGGTGATCCATCAGCCATAACATGTGAGATGGTGTACGCTTGATTATTAACTGCTGATGCCCATTGTTGAATACAACGAAATAATGTACGAAATGTATCAGCCGATTCATCTGTTAATATTAAACAAATACCCATTGGATAAAATCTACGATTATAATCAGATGTCCCAAATACTAATAATGATAATTCATTTGTTGTTATTTTGTAAGTGCAGTCAATAGCCAGTACGGATGAATTTTTACATGCAGATAATAACTGACGTGTTGTTAAACATATAAATAAATCATTGACATCATTAGCACATAATAAGGTATAAATATGTCGTGTTGTTTATTTAGTTGTAGTACATTTTGACTTGATGAATACCAGTGTTGTATATCTTGAATGAATTTAATACTTGAACGATTTTTTTGACGGTGAACACGAGAAACATTCATAACTTTTGTGTCAATAGACAAACCTGGATGTAACGCTTTCATGACTTTATTAATTTGAGATGTTACTAAGCCTTTGTCTGACATTCTAATGGTATTTTCACGAACTGGTGATGGTAGTCGAGTTGTTGGATTTCGTTGTTGATGATCATGCAATGCTGATGAATATAATTCATATGTACCATCAGACGACTGGTTTGCTTTCAATTGAAATTTACATAATGGTTATTTCCGATATTCCGAACAAATATATGAATAATATAATCCATAATCCAGTGGTTCTGTACGTTTTTTACATGTATTATTTTCCATTGTGACTGTTAATAACTCATCTTCGTCTTTAGATTAAAAAAATTCTTGCCATATTCGGGTAGACATATTGATAACAGTATATTTTTGAAGTAAGTATTATGCGTTGTGAGGAGTATCACTTTTACAAACGTTTTTATACTTTTCAATGGAAGACAATGATCGTCGGCCTTGTGATCTGAGATTGCAGTTACATTGTTCCTAATTATGTTTCCCGTAAAAGACATTATACAAAAGCAGTCAATTTGTACTATGGATAAACAGCTCAAGTTGTATATTCTTATCTGAATATATGAAACAGATCTTACCTATCCTTAATCTGAACTGTTTTCTTTTATAAATTTATTGGATTAATCACTTAATAAGAAAACGTTGCACATTGCGTCTGACTACCATGAACCGAAAAAGTACATTTAACTATTCAAAGACCACATAGTTGGTCAATGAGCCTCAGCTTAAGAACTGTGCTGTGCTGTGCAAGAATTCTTTAATTTTCCGGGATCGATTGTGTTATGCAAGAAAAAATATAGCTTTTTCCGGGATCAGTTGTGTTATTATATAACTAATTAAAAATTATTAGAAAAACCGGGATCATTTGTGCATTTTTTCGCGAAAATTGGTACACGGGATCAATTGTGCTTAATTTCTGGGATCAAAAATGTAAGTGTCCGATCGATTGACTCAGCGGTAGCATATTGTTTGAAAAAGGAAAAAATGCATTTCTGTACGTTTTATTATTCCGCATAATCCTATTCTCAAAGAAACAACGTACGTTGTTTTAAAAGCTGTAATGACTGCATGATATTTTGACGAACAATTTTACTTACAGATAGCTAATACGAACGATCAATATTTTTTAGTTCCAGAATACCAGAAGCAAGGCTCGTAAACTATCCTGGTTGATCTTTTCTTCTTAGTATTGCAATCTTTTTTAGACAGTTTGTGGTGGTGACAAAAAGAGTTTGAGAGATATATACAATTCACCTAGCCTTGGTGAACGTGAGTTTGATTCACAGCTTGAGTACTTATTATTGTGTGCAGGCTGTTGTGATTTACGACCAATTAATCTATATCGATATAATGTATGTTCAAATGATAACACTATATTGTCGTCAGCACCAAGATGTAACAGTTGTAACGTTTATGAACCAGTATTCATCAATTCTTCTCAATTCACTTCTGATCTAAGTCCAATACCGAAAACATTCGCATTGGCGATATGGAAGCAGTATAAAATATCCGTCTACAATTTATCTATGTGTTCAGGATGTCGTAAAAAACTTGAAAGTCGTTACAAAATCGAATCTATACTTCAAGAGCGTCGTAGCCTTTTTCAATGAATATACGATCAACGTATAGTGTATACATCTTCAGCAATAACTGATTTGTGTGGAAGTTCATATCAGCAAGAGATTGAAGATAGTTCGAGTTCATCACAAAAGCAAGATCTAAAGCCATAGTTGATGGGAAATAGTGTTCAAGGAAAAAACGAGACGACAGTAATCTTCAAGCCAAAACTCAAAAAAATTTTCGTCATCAAACTAAGAAATTCTGTTAGTATTCTTACTCCGAATGATGTCGAAACTCGATATAATTTACAGTGAATTGGAACAGTAAAATATTGTGAATGATCCCGATTCTGACAAAGTAATGAAAGATACAGCCGATACATATAGTAATGCTGAACACTGGAGCACCAGAAGACAAATATTATCAATCGTAGCTCCTGATCTACCACTTCGTGTAATTCAATAATATCCTCCCGATATAACACAATGGAAAATGAAGGCAGCATGAAGACAAGCGTATTTCAATGGTGAGTCTATTTACTAAAAAGGGATAACATTTATTGATTTTTGTCTTGTTCATAGGTTGTGGAACGATAGTCAACATTGAACGAGCATCAGCATTAAGATACACGAATCAATAAATTTTACATTTTGTCGAATATCTGCTTTCATCGTACATAACAACAGATTTGCCGTTTGGAGAAAAGAAAATGAAGCTTTCAACTGGTGAACAAATACTCGTCTCCAATACCGTTTGCAATATAAAACCATCACGAATAATAAAATAATATTTACTTTATTGTAAGTAAGAATCTGAGAAAGATCCAACCGATTAGCAAGACTGTAAACCGTTAAAGGAAGAAACATTATTCGAAATATTAGATGGCTGTTCCGCATCTACACGAAAAAGTGTTCAGGGACTCGACTGTTTTGCCGTCGATGGCTCTAACGGTAATGGATATTCTTGCTAAGATATGTGACGAATTATTCATGTTTGGTACGTTTACCACAATGGATAACTTACTTTATAACTTTTACTAAACTATTCTATGTACGCAGACATACACACTGAGGACAGTACACCAATACTATCTATGCGAAAAAATATAGATTTGACACGATTTTGTTGAACTTCGTTTCAACGAAATCTGACGTTTTCAAATCTTTGCGTTCAACATGATTATATCTATTTTAATTTTATTGGTTCATCAATTATACGCTCTTTTAAAAATTATTTTGAAGTCGAACAGTGTCTTTTTTTTCTTTCCACTTAGTGTATTCAACTATTGTATTACTGAGCTGACAACGGAAGCTGGTTATTTCAGTACTTCAAATCCTATTTCTCAAGGTTATTTTAGAACTAAGTAAAACGTGGTATACTTCTACTTCAGTACATACGCCCATAGAGTCCTTGAATGAAAAATGAAACAAAATTAGCTATTACTATTTATTAATCCTTTTGTTTTTTGTTATTGAAAATTTAGAACAGAAAAAAATATAATAAAGCCATGGACATATTAAAAGACCCCCACATTAGAAGACCCCTACATAATAGAAGACCTCTCTGAAATAAATTATGTAAAAGACATATTAGGAGACCCCTTTTAATATTTCATCTATTAAAGTCAGTTTTTTTTTATTTTTCTGTATATGTATGTCTTATGGTTGAATCAAGGAATTTTCTTCTGTTCTTCCTGCCGTCAAAATAGTCCATAGTACAATGTTTTCTTTCTCAAGTTTATGGTGATACATACACTTACGAATATCTCTTTCATTTCTGACATGCACATAGTGATTATATCTCTGTCGTTGTCATTTCGATTCTTCTTTTTTCTAAAAGTCACTTACACGTTTTGAATATTGGATACGTGAAAATATCTCTCATGGACCATGATCTAATTGTAAATTCTCATCTATTACCGTTGAATGTCGATGATGATCACATCGACAAACAAAGGACATAATAGAAGACCCCTTTAAGAATTTGTAAGTAAAAAGACAGAATAGAAGACCTGGGTCTTTTAATACGTCCATGGCTTTAACAGTTAAATTTTATTTGCTCCTTCATTCACGCTAAAAAGACAAAAAGTATCGACACGACCACAACGTCTTTTTACCGAGCCATTGTTACCTTATTATTCATTACGATTCTAGTTTACGACGGTAAGTGAGGTGGAAATACTTGTATGGAATACGCTACTGCGCATATATAAAATCTACCGAAACGACAGTGGAAAGGTGATATATGACAGAAAGGTGTTTCACAGTTAAGTCAAATATTGAGTGTTGCGCGTTTTTTCACCTTCTTCAATATTTACTTGTATGTAGTGTTGATCAGACTCGAAGAGTGCTGTACAGTGGCTCACCTTTCTCTCTTGTCCTGAATTTTAGATACTAAACTATAAGAAGAAAAGATGACGTCGATGATGGAAAAGAAAAGAAACTACTATATGTAAGAGGCAATGCACGATAGAAATGTACTTTTTCAGCATAGCGTACTTGATGAACTTTTCCAAATTTTTCTCAAATTTTTAGAGCAAGTAGAGGAATGTATCTTGAACACTTTTGTCTTTTGACATTTTTTTCCCTCGATGCTAGAGCGCTTGCAAAAAAGGCCGTAAAATGGAAAAAAAGCGATTTTGCAGGCGAAAATTTCGCTTACGCTATAATTTCGTCAAATCAAATGCAAACGAGCTAAAATTTTTACCAGAACTATCTTGGTATGAGTACTATCCATGGTACCATATTCTATTCTTTCAGTCTGCAGCTGAATTTGTATAAATGAAGTTTCACAGTGCATAGGAAAGGAGCAAAACGCCAAAAACTTCGGATTTTTCAAGGTTTTTCACCTTTCGCTGGACTAAAAAAACTCTTTCATTCCAAATAGGGTTTCTTATACTTCATTCGACGGACAATTCAGTGCTGATTCCGAATATCTATGTTACAGCGCTTCAGGAAAAGTCATCGTTCAAGAATAAGATAATATTTGGAATCCGCGTAAAAGTCTCCTTCTAGTCCATTTCTCTTTGTTTGCCGAAAAGTTGGGAAGGCGAACTATCGAGGACTTCGAAAAAACCTTCTCTGAAAAATCGAAATTTAATGTTAAAACTCTGCGGTTTTCGCAGATCGATAGAAATTTTGCATCGTACTATTCAATTAAAAAAGTCTTTTAATTGACGAAAGTGGCTGAATTTCAATGTAACTTTCGGAAAAGCTTTTCCAACTTTTTTCAATCAAAAAAACAGACTTTTTGAATATCAACTAGTGAAATAAGTAGAGGAAGCCGCGCTCTTTACTACGATGGAAACCACATGTCTCTGTCGTTAATTTTTCTCATTTTATCACCTCTGTCGATATCATTGCTACATTTCGGTCGAAGAGAGATTCAGTATATAGGCAGAAAATACGTTTTAGCACAGCTAAAAGTCAGAAATCTGGGCAAATCTGAGGTTTTTACCGCTATTCATTGATTTATGTGCATCGTAGAGA